TGTATTCCCTAACTCAGCAGGAATCTGGAAAGCTAAATTAGAGATAAAGTCCAAGCACACAATCCTGCTTTAAATATCATTCCCACAGATGTTCCCCTAACATCTGCTGCTTTAAAGTGAGCACATGTTGCTTCTGTCTCCCTGTAGAAGCAGACCTTCTTTGATTATCTCCTCACACCAAGACACCCATTCCCCTTCATGCCTTCTCCCAATGCAGGTATTAGGTTTCCTCACCTGTGAGCTCAGGGACTTTACTGTGATTACCACCCACCTTGTGATGTATGTAAGTCCTCAATATGCGTAACTAATGGCTACCTACAAAAGCCCCCAAACAGTAAAGATGCTCTCACTCTCTCCTGCTTGCTCTCTGTGGACCATGGCTGTCCCAGAGGTGAGCATGCTACCATGAGATGTGTCTGACTCCTTTATTTTGTATTCTCTCCTTCCTCTCTATGGCTTTGCTATAATCTTTATATGTTATCACCATATAATCGTGCCTACGGATTGCCCACACTTGTCAGAGGCTGGTTTCTCTGACACCTTCTTATCAGTACATTGTGCGAATGTGTGATTCTTGCTTTCCTTACACCATTGAGCCAGTGTTACCTTGTGTCAGAGGAAACCAGCCTCTAACAACCAAAGGGTCATTAGACACAATTGTACAGTTATAATATATGAAGATTATAGTAGTCATCGAGAATAGAAAAGAAAGGAGAGAGAATGAAATGAAGGAGTCAGACACATTCTATGGTAGCATGCCCATAAATGGGCGCTCTTGTTTATCCATGATAGCATTCCAGAATATCCAATGACCCAAGGTTATACCTGAATTCTCTGGCTTTTCTTCCTGATTGGTGTAGTTTCTGTTAACAGGGACATGGAGTAGTAAGAGTAATTTTCCCATGTAATCTCCCTTTTTAACCCATGGTACATCAGACTTAATCACTGCCTTCATTTCCCCTTCATAATCCTGATCAAGACTCCAGTAACAACCGGAACACCTTGAAAATCTAGGTTTGTTTTCCCAAATAAAAGCCCTATGATTTCTTTCGGTAACAACCCCCAAATCCCAGTCTTAATTTCTGGTGGGCTGCCTGGAATAAGTTCTTGGCTGTTTTAATCTATCAAAAAGCTTCCCATGGCAGTGTGATTGAGTGTTAAGGCTGACTGGGCTTCAGTACATTGCTTGCTGGGCTCAGTAGGTTGGGTGGGGCTCAGAGCACGCTGTGCTACAGATTTCCTGGCTGGGAAGTGCATCATCAATGGGATAAAAAATTGACAGGATGGATTCCAGTTCTCATAGGCTGGTTTAGGAATGAGATTATCCACTACCTGTAAGTCAGCCACATTTTTGCAAACTTCATCTTGTAATTTGGAGACAAAATGTACATAAGGATCATCATTCTTTTTCTTCACTGCAGTGCAATTGGGCCATCTGCTTCCTGACAGTATTATTTTTTCCCAAGCTTGCACACAAACATTGAGTATCTGTGATAACCCTTGTTCAGTAACCTGCAATTGTGTTTCCACTGTGATGAAATTACCACTCCCCAGTAACTGATCCAACCCTATGAATATACCCTGCTCTATGTTCCTGCGAGCCTGTGTCTCAGCTCCTGCAGTCCACCAAATCTGGTATCACAAGAAGTCAGAAGGAGAGAGGCATGCCTAAATCAAGGTATTCCAATCTGCAGGGATCAGACATTCAGTTTCAGCTAGGCATCTAATCATGCTGACCAGGAAAGGGGAGTTGGGCCCTAGCTTGCCACTGCGTTTGATGTCCTTTAGAAGCTTAACGGAGAATCTTTCGTTCTTGATACCCCTGAGGATTGTCTGCATTGGGTGGCCTTTCTATTACACGAGCAGGAAAAGCTAGACTGGTTTCTAAATCTTCTGTAATACCTTTCTACCTTTGAAAGTAAAGCTGCTTTATCCTGCTTAGTATCTTCTTTGCTCTTATCTACTCCCTTTGTTTTATGGCTCTCTGGCCTCTTAGCTGCAGTCCTCAGGTGGGGCGGAGGCATTGGCCATGGGGCTAACTTAATTTCTTTAGGTTTTTCTAAAGCCTTCTCAACTATCTCATACTCATTTTGGATCACTTTTGTCTGCTTCTGAAATGTTGGATAGTTTCAGGCTTTTCCTTACATCAATGTACCTCTTTCCTCACCTGCTGTGTCTGCAGGGTTTCTAAAACCATCTTAACATGAGCCCACTGAGACCAGGTCTCCAGGGGCCATTTCTGTATGCTTTCTTTAAGTCTGTAACAGCTTCCTCCCAAGTTCTTAGATCTAAAGTTCCTCCTCTGGGAACCATGGATTATACTTTACTCTTTGTAGAAAACCTTGCATCTCTTTATTACTGGTACCTCTTTTTTTTTTTTTTTTTAAGTAAGTTGGTGAGAGTAATAGGAAACGTTTTAGGTTTAATTCCTTCTTGCCCCATTGTCCTCTTTAAAATAGTATATATGACTATTCTTATTATTACTTGTCTGCTAATCCCCCAACTGGTTCCTCACTTCAAATAACTTCCCCAATTCACTCTGCCATCTGGTGGGGCCATACAATTTTACACAGGTATAACTCAAGAGTTATTTTCCCATTGTCCCACGTTTTGGCCCATCTGTCAGAGAAAACCATTCTCTAAAAACCGACGTGTCAGTAGACATATTGTACGGTTATGTGAAGATTATAGTAAGGTCATGGAGAATAGGAAAGATAGAGAGAATAAAATAAGGGAGTCACACTCATTTTATGGTAGCATGCTCACCTCAGCCCCTCTTGGTGGTACATGTGGAAGTGGGAGCGAAGAGTGTCTTTTCTATCTTGGGATATTTATAGGTAGTCATAAGACATGCATATTCAGTAGTTACATGCATCACAAGGTGGGTGGAATCTACAGTAAGGTCCCTGAGCTCACAGGTGAGGAAACCTAATACCTGCATTAGGGGAAGATATGAGGGGTGCTGGGTGGCATGGCAGGAAGAGATAGCAACAGGATGCCAGCTTCTTAGGGAGATAAAATCAATCATGTGCTCACTTTAAGGCAGCATAGGTGTTAGGGGAGAATCTGGGAACGATAGTGAAAGCATAATAGTAGTTGGACTTTAACTTACTAAAGTGGGGGCTTTCCTACCGTGGAATAGTAGCTTTCCAGATTCCCTGTGTTATAAGAGGGAGTAGAGCCCAATTATTCTGATATTGTGCCTCTTCATAGCATCCAACATTGTTCTCAGGTTTTCCTCAGCTTCTTTATCTTGTTTGACTGACCTTCCCGTTTTTTTAACTCTGCCTGGTTATCTTCAAGGTCACAGGTATGATTCTTAGCTTCTTCTAGTCTGTCGGCGAAGCCTGTTATTTGCTTTTGTTACGTCGTTCCTTAACTCTTATGATACTTCACCCTTCACTTATATATTTCTGTTTGGTGCATGGCCTTTATCTCCTCTATTATTTCACCCTTTTTCTGTAATTTTTCCATCATATCCTGTATGATTCCAAGCAGCATTTTGAAGATTTCTTTCTGTGATAGCTCAACTTTGCCTGTTCTATTCAGTGTTAGATTCAGGACTTTCTCTAACTGCATTTAATTTCCCCTGATTTTTTGTAAGTTATTGAGGCAGTTTGCTGTCTGCTTGTTGCTTTGGAGGAGTTTGGCACCATTTTCTGGGGAGTCAATGTCCCCAGGCCTCTCTGAGGCTGGTAGGAATGCTTCTACAGGCTGCCGATAGCCAAACATGCTGGGATGCTGGGCTACTTTATCTCACTAGGGTTTTACTCTCCTTAACCGGGATTCTCTATTTGGAGGGCAGGCCCTCTCAGTGTGCATTGGTGGGGCAGTTACAGGCAGCAAGTGTAGCTTTTTTTTGTGGGGGTGCCAGACAATGATGGGAGAGGTCCCGCTGCCACGCGAAGATGGGGAAAGCACCACTGCTACTGGTCGAGGTGCTGGGCTACTACAGGATAAGCCCCACTGCCACATGGTGGGGTGCTGGGCAACAGACAGGGCAGCTTCCACCACTGTGGTCAAGGGCATTATGTGGCGGCAGAAGCCAAGCTGTCACTGCTATGGGCAGGGCACCAAGTGGTGGTGGGAGAGTAGGAGAGGAGTCACTGCTGCTGCAGGATTGGGGGGTTCCAGGCAATGGTGGGGGAGCCACTGCAAATGACTAAACTTACTGCAAGCTGACTGCAAACAGGGCCTATCCACTGTTGTTGGACTGTGATTGGGCGATGGGAGGGACCCGCTACCATGTGGAGAGCAGGGAGCCTTGGGAGAAGGGAGCACCTCGTGGAGTGCTACGGGTAGACAGTCGCTGGGTGGGGGGGTCCAGCCTTGGTTGTGGGGGACTCAGTAGGGCAGTTGGCTAGCTCTGGGTGTGGTGATAAGGCTGAAGAGGGGGGCCGATCGGTGGGTGGTGGCCACGACAGGGTCTGAAGTAGTAGGCCAGGGAATCCCTGGGACCAGGTCATAGATCCCTGGGGCTCCAGAGGGATTCTGGACTGGGGTGGCGGGGTTGCTCTGGGTTGTCACGGGGGTCTTTTCATTTACTTAAATCCCCCAACTCACCCTCCTGGGCACCAGGTTCACTGATCACCACAGAGCTCCCCATTTGGGCTGCCTACCTGGGTGCCTGCTTGCCAGAACCAGTATTCTCCTTTTTCACCTGATTTCTGTCATTTCTTGAAAAATGTTTCCATTCAGTTTCACTTCTTCCACCTTTGCTTTAGTTTCAGTGCCCTTAACATAAAAGGGTCCATTATATTTATTGAAAAAATTCCACATATAAATGGACCCATTGTAATTCAAATGCATGTTGTCAACATGTGAAATATCACAGGCACCATGAATGCTTTAAATTCTACATGCATTAGCTCCTTTCATTCTCACAGCAATTTCTTAAGTAACTCAGGTCACGTGGTCTTTTCTGTAGAGCTAGAGTTAAAATGTGTAGAAGTACTTTAAATACATAAAAACTTTACTGATGCTAACTGGTTTTCTTATAGATGGTATTAACAAAAATTGACAAGTCGTCCAAGGGACATCTTTTAAAACAAGTACTTTCAATCCAGAAATTTGTGGACACTCAAACTCAAGGATGTTTTCCTCAGTTGTTTCCTGTAAGGTAAGAATTTAACTGTTTTATAACCGTGTCTCAATATAGTCTCGTATTAGGCACTCTTGGAAGTGGAGGAGTCGGGGTATGCACTTCCTATGCATTGCTGCCCAGCAGCACTTTGCTTGTCCTCCAGGTGCTTCTCTCTGCTGGCTCTTGCTGGATTGTCCCGATGCTTTGTTCTCATTCTGCTGCAGCATCGCGCAGCCCGACTCCAGATACCACAAGGGAAGTGAAAATATTTTGGCTTTAAAAATCAAAGATGTTGTCATCAATTTCTCATTTCCCCCTCCCCTCAAAGAAACAAGACAAAAACCCAGTACAGGTTGTGAGAATTTTCTCCTAAAGAAATGCTTCAAATAAGTTAGAACTGAGCATTATTAGCAGAAGGAAATGGTAATGTCCTAATGGTGTAGAGATACTATATTACGGTTTAGTGATGGCGCTGTGGCCTGCACGCTCATCTCCTACCTTGAACACAGGAAGTAGTGTGTACCATGGCGCATGGTCATGTCCTTACTTTGGTTTCCTTCTGGAAGACAGTTTACTAGTTGCGATGAGAAAACCACATAAACCTGAGTTATACGTAATTACGTACAAAACTGTCCCTTATGAGTCATTTTAGATTGTACCAATCTAGGTCAGATGTACATTTTTGGAATTCAGAACATGCCTGACAGAATCAAATCCTCTTCATTCCTTCCTACAAAATGCTCCTCCTTTCTTGACTTACAGTAAAAACAACAGTTACACTTAGCTGAACACAGGTGATCTTGGGAGATGTTACAAATAATTGAATTATACTACTTAATTGGTCCTCACAGTGAATATCTGTTTTACAGAGAGAGAAGCTTACAAGTGGGAGAAATTAAGGGAGTTCCTGAGAATTTCCTGAAATAGATCATAGGCCTTATTATCAAACAGCCATGATTTTGCATGTTTCCCTCCACTTCCTGGCAAAGCTCAAACTGTGTCCAAAGGATTAAATAAGATGGATTGTGATTGTTGTACACAAAATAGGCGTGTAATAAATGTTAGTTTCCTCCCTTGCCAAAGATCATAGGGTCAATATATGGCAGGATCGTCAGATTCCTGGCACTTCTTTGGGTAAGCCAGCTTTCTCTGCTGCCTGTCCCTAGAATCACTGCTCCGACTACACTCACCATAGGTGACCAGGGCACTACAGAGGGTCAGACAGCACTCAGAATCAAGGAATGGAGACACCACAGGAGCGCACTGGCTCCCAAGAACTGCAGCATTCACCATACCACAGTGCCCATATACAGCAGGAAGTTAGCAGGCTGCACCTGTACCTTCTCATGTGGCCACAGTCCCTTCCATCCCACTAGAACAGTGGTTGGTTCTCAGCCTTCCTAATGCGGTGACCCTTGACCCCCCCCCCCACCTATTTTGATTACTGCATCACTATAATTTTGCTAGTTATGAATCAGATGACCCCTGTGAAAGGGTTGTTCGACCTCCCAAAGTGGTCATTACCCACAGGTTGAGAACCACTGCTCTAGAAGGTTTCACAGAATGGTTAATATAAAGGTAAAGTGTTATTTCCTCTTGTGTACTCTTGGTAAGGGAAGACAAAGTGTGGAGTAGATAGATAGCATCTTTAAGCCTGTAGATAAGGAAATGTTAACCAGCATAGCATCTTTAAGCCTGTAGATAAGGAAATGTTAACCAGCACGACGGAACTCTTCCCCAGAGGGTAGAAAAATATAAATGGTGCAAGATGGATGCCAAGGTCAGGTCCCCCACCCCCACCCCCCGGCCCCCCCTTGGTTTTGTTTTGTTTCTATGCTGTTGTTTTTAAATGTACTGAAATTTCTAAACAGATAAGAACTGAGTAAGAACAAAATAAATTTAGTTGCTAGAAATAAGGCAAATGAGTTCAAAGACCTTATTTTATTGGACAGAATAACATATCTCTTATGTGTATATATAACCTCTGTTAAAATCTAAGCATCATTACAGGCTAGTCTCAAACAAGCAGCTTTGGTCAAAAACTCTTAACATGCTGCACCGTCAAGACAGCAGACAATATTTTACCTGCATATCAAACTGTAGAGTATCCGTGCCTGAGCTTCATCCTAATGGGTGAATATAATAAAATAGCTAATGGATCACAGTAATGGTGATTTTAAACAACTGAAATAGGTGTAAATTATTAAGGTGATGTCAAACACACACACACACCGGAAAGGGGGGGGGGGGACTAAAGAAATCAAGACTTCTATTCTAGGAAATATAAAGCAAAATAGAAGATACCCAAGTTCTATAATTGTATTAGTCTGGGTACTTTGGAGAAACAAATCCACAGCAACTCATGTATAAGAGAGTTTTATGTAAAGAAAATGTGCATCACGAAAACATCCCAAACCAATGCTGCCCAAGCCCACAAGTCCAACATTAACCCATTTACCCAATACCAGTCCACAAAGTTCTCCACCTCACAAAACAGAGGCAATGATGCCGACTGCAGGAGGAAAGCTGAGTCAGTGAACGAATAAGCATCTCAGCACTAGCAGGGGTCTCCACACGGCTGCTCCAGCACCCAGGGCTGCATCGGGATATGTCCATGTGGCTTCTCCTTGGGGATGTCTTGTAGGAAGTCAATCTTGCAAGCTGAAGCAGGGAACTGCTAAGGCAGCTGCACCCTGGTGCGACCATCACAAAGCAAGAGACCGGAGAACTAGAAAGGCGAGGCTCACCACCCATTTATCCCTCCGCCTTTCAATTAGGCCCACGTGATTATCGGCCAGGATGGCACAATTAACTAACTCAATAATCATGAATGAAATGGACCAGATAATGTATGTCATCTGATTTTACTGGAAAATGCTGGACACAAAGGGGCTGAAGAGAAGAATGAATAAGTTAAAGGACATTTTCCTATATAGATAGAACTTGCAAGAGTTTGTAATTATGGGGGGAGGCAGGGTTTGAAAACATCTGTGATGTATATACTAGGGCACTCTTTTTTTTGTTTTGTTTTTCTATATAGCTAAAAATTATGAGTATAAATTACACAGAGTTGAAGTAATCGTTTTAAATAGATTGATATAAATATATGCACACATGCATATGTATTTAGATCAATATGCATATGTTTAGATTAATTCAAATCTATTATTACATTGGAAATAAAGAAGAGTATACTTCTTTTCTTTCCACAGTGCTGTAACCTATTCTGGAATCCATCTGTTGAAGTGCTTTATAGCAAGTATAACAGGAAGTCTTAAGGCTGAGGACTCCCGACAGAACTGAAGATCCAAAGTGCTTTAGGCCAACTGGAGCTAAACACCTAAAATAACTTCAATGTTTTAAATATTATGTTTCTAGAACTTGCAGGATTGATTCAGTGTTAAAAATCCATGTTTTTCATCTTTTCTTCGGCGCTGCCTACAGAGGCATTCGTCTCCCACTGGCATCATGGCTGCCCTCAGACCCTTGATGAAGCCTAAAATTGTAAAAAAGAGGACCAAGAAGTTCATCTGGCACCAATCCGACCGCTATGTCAAGATTAAGCGCAACTGGCGCAAGCCCAGAGGCATTGACAACAGGGTGCGGAGAAGATTCAAAGGCCAGATCTTGAAGCCCAACATTGATTACGGGAGCAACAAGAAAAACAAACACATGCTGCCCAGTGGCTTCCGCAAGTTCCTGGTCCACAATGTCAAGGAGCTGGAAGTGCTGCTGATGTGCAACAAGTCTTACTGTGCAGAGACTGCTCACCACGTTTCCTCCAAGAATCGCAAAGCCATTGTAGAAAGAGCAGCCCAGCTGGCCATCAGAGTCACCCATCCCAACGCCAGGCTGCACAGCGAAGAAAATGAGTAGAGGGCCCATTTGTGAGTTTTATTTGTGCTAAATAAAACCATAAATGAAAAAAAAAATCTGTTTTTCAAAGAAGGAATGTGTGTCTGAGAAACAAGTTTACAAATAACTGAATTGTGCTGCTCATTCATTAGAAAGCTTCTAGCTGTTTTTACTAACAGGCTGACAAGACTATACAGAAATCCATAAAAGGAAAACCAATTACTACTGTGTAGAAAAGATTCTGCCATGTTATTTATTGGACCGTTGTGGGGGGTTTTTTGTTTTTCTTTTTTCAAAAAGACCTCATATATATTTCTTAAATATTAAAATAGGTTCAGTTAAAGGGCTTTTTGGTTAAGGTCCACTGGTGGCCGGTTACTTGTTTCTTGAGTCTATATGGATTTATTTTTTTTTAATTGTTCTTGGAAAGTTTCAATTCAGTCTATGTTGGAAAAATGTCTAAAATCATTCATCTTTGAAGGCAGAAATGGGATTCAAGATGATAAGACCAGAATTGTTTTTCATTCTAATGGTTGTACACTGGATAGCAGGCAAATTACTTGGTTTCTTTGAGCCCTATTTGTAACCCCCTACGTGAAGACTGAAATGGCATTAGGATACGCACCATATGCCACCAAACTGATTCCAACTCAGTGACCCTAAAAAGGGGTCCCGACATCGCAAATTTTTAGAGGAACTGACAGTCTCATCTTTCTCCCTTGGAGTAACTGTTGGGTTTAAACTACTGATCTTGCACTGGCAGCCCAACACCTAACCCACAGTGCCATCAGGGTCGCTTAATATGGCATTACATCAGGGAATATACATGAAGAAACCCAAAACCAAACTCAAGGTCATTGAGTCGGTGGAGACTCACAGCAACCCTATAGGACAGGGCAGAACTGCCCCGAGTTTCTGAGACTAAGTATTGGAGTAGAAAGCCCTCTCTTTCTCAGTGGACATTGGCAAATTTAGAAAACAATGTAACAATTCACAGGTAAATTAGTCACACAAAAAAATCCTGCCATGGAGGAAGGAACATGTTCTCTAGTGAAAGGAATCTCTCACAACCATCAAGAGCGAGCCAGAGGTGGGGGGCAGCGGCAGCAGCCGCCCCGGGAGCCTAAGACAGAAGAGGCAGGGTCCAGGCCGAGTGTCTGGGCAGGAGGCTTATTGGCAGAGTGGGGTGCACTTAATCTGGGGAGCTTGGTTTGCCAGCCAACAGAGCTAGAGCCAAGCCATCCTTTTTGAAGAAAAGTTTAGTTTGGAATGAACCATCAGCAACCCAATACAGTAAAAACCTTTTGGAGAACTTCAAAAGCTGGCCTGAGGGAATCTGAATTGCGAAGCAGAAAGGTCAGCTCGGGCTCTAGAAACTATTTGGGGATTACCAAGGGATTAGATTTTCCCCAAGGACACACGGGGGCTTAAATTCTGAGAACTGGAAATTGCATTGGTGAGAAAAATGCCAGTTAGGTTCAACTGAAGAACATTTTTTATTGACAGTGTGCCTTATTCTCAGGGCAGCAAAGGCTGCCTGCCCTGTAAGAATTTTGTTGGGAAACCTCAGCCCATCCACACTATAACCTCAAGTGACCTCACCCCTTCACCCTTCTTTTCCTGCCCTAAAGCCAGAACATTTGGAAGCCATCTGCGCTGAGCCCTCCAAGGATGCCACCTGCCTTTCTGACATGGTGTAAACAGACGAGTGCCAAGTTCTCTGGGGAAGGACTGGACAAGGAGGTAAAAGGTGATGGAATTTTTTATGCATTTTTGAAGCTGCTTCATATATGCAGATATGTCAAGGAACAATGGTTTTATACTTAGATTTTTTTTATTTAATAAATATACCCACCAAACCAAAAAAACCTCTCATCACTGGGTCAATGCCAACTCATAGCCACCCTCTCTAGGACAGGGTAGAACTGCCCCTGTGAGTTTCCAAGTCATAACTCTTTAAGGGAGTAGTAGAAAGGCTGTTTTTCTCCCAGAGTGACTGGTCGTTTCGAACTGCTGACCTTGCAGTTACCAGCCCAACTTAGAACCACTACACCACCAGAGCAGCAGATAGAAACAAAGCAAAAACATCAGAAGCAGGAAGCCTTGAAATGCCAAGGTGGATAAACCTGCAACTGAGCCAGGAAGGAAGGAGCTATTTCCTGTGCACCTTCCCTAGTCCTCACTCACCCAACCCTCGTCAGGTTTCTGTAAACTTATTTATTCAGAGTCTTCATTCCCTGGTTTTCCAGGACTGACCAGCCTGTCAAGGAACGGCATCTAATTTTTTATTGTGGTCCCTGGCTTATAGGTGAAGCCAATAACTATTTATTCATTAAATGATGAACCGCAAACCCGTGCAGCGTTGCTCTGCCGCAGCTCCTCTCAGTCCATGCGCTACTTCCAGCTCTCAGCGGAAAGGCAATAAGCATCTAAACGCCCATTAAAGCAAAAATGTCATCAATGTCGTCTCTCTCCTTCATAGCTCCTGATGTATTATGTCTGTCCACTTGGGTCACTGTCCGGGAGCCCATTTTACTTTCAGTGCTTCCTGGAAGATTCCCGTCATTTTGTTTCTTCTTAGTTCCACCAAGCGTTGGAGCTTTGTTGACTAAGAGTTGCATATTGTGAGGGTACAGCTCAGCTGTGTTGGCTGCGAGGTGTGAGAGTCTTTGTTTCACGCTGGTGCCTGTGGCCCCTTCTGAGTCCCTGCAGGAGACTGCTGCAGTGCTCTCTGGTTTCCTTTGTCTCTGTAAAAACTGACTCTGGGATCTCCTCGGTCTCAGGTGATGCTTTGAAGTTTTGTTACCTGAGCCACGAAGCAAGCAGTTGCAAATAGATGTCTTTATGCACTCTAATTTCTTTGGCAAGCTTGAAAGGAGATAAATGAAAAACGAGTCTAAGATGCATGAAAACATTCTCAAGCTCTTTTGTCTCCTTTCTAATTCTACCAACTGAACAGAAAAGCACACAATTTATGTTCAAGTCCTATGACTGGATTATAACAAATTATGGATAACACTACACAGGACACTGATTGTGTTCAGGTGGAACCTGTCCATTCACCCAGCGGCAGTTCTAACAGGAAAAGCTCAAAGGTATGCGTCAGCATTGTGTCCTTTTGCTCTGTGTGCTGAACAATACCCGGGGAAGCTGGACTGTATGGAGACTCACTGACTAACAAGTGCTGATGACACAACCTCGCGTGCTGTAATCGGAGGACTTGAAGACCAGAGTATAGCCTTCAGTAGTGATCACACCACAACATAAAGAGAAGAGAAATCCTCACAACTGGACAAAGGAAAAGGATTTGGTTTGACTCAGAGCCACGATCAACGCCCTTGGAAGCAACAGTCAAGAAATCAAACCATGTGCTGCACTGGACAGATCTGCTACAAAGGGCCCCTTTAAAATGTTGAAAGACCAAGCTTCAAAGTGCTTAAAAACGTAGCACTTTGAGGACTAGGTGTACCTGACGCAGGCCATGGTACTTTTTACAGTCCCCTCACATGCATGTGAAAACTGGACAGTAAAGACGGACGACCACAGAGGAATCGATGCGTTTGAATTACGGTGTTGGCATACCATAATTGGGCTGCCGGAAGAAACAACTAATCTATCCTAAGTACAGCGAGAATACTTCGTACAAACAAGGATGTTAAGACTTGTTGCTAGGATCATGCTTGGTAAAGCAGAGTAACAGTCAATGCCAACTCATAGCAATCCTCTATGGCTTTCCAAGACTGAATCTTTACAGGGGCAGATGCCCTCAGCTTTCTCCCACAGAGCAGCCAGTGGGCTTGAACCTTGGGGCTGGCAGTCCAACACTCACCTCACAGTGCCATCGGGACGCCTTGGTGCAGTAGAAGGCAGAGAAAAAGAGGGGCCTTCAGCAAGATGGGAGGCTCTAGCAGAATGTAGGAGGGCGCCGCGCTGGACAGTGTGGCTAGGAGTTGGACCTGCCCTGCTGGCCCAGAACAAGAGGCCTGTACACAATCCCCAATCACCATGAGGAACCTGGGAATAGGAGCTTCAACATCATTCTCTTTGCAGAGTCCCAGTGTGCCACCAACATAAAGAAGGCAACTACAACGGCCTAGGAAGGAGGCCGAGCAATGGACTCGCTCAGCACCTCTGCATAGCAGGAATCCAGCCCAAGGTTTCACAGATGGTGGAATCTCTCTCTACTAATTTGGTGTTGTGGCAGGTGGCTGATAAAAATGAACAGGTGAAAGAAGGCAGGGCTTGCCCCAAGAAACTGACAGGCTGACAGCCAGAATTAGGGCAACAGAAGGCTATCTTCACATTTGGAAATTCAGCGCTTGAGCATCTGACAGTTCTAGGTGTTTTGCATCTGGCCAGGTGCCCTGGGATGGCACACCTCACAGGCTGCCTCCCCCCATGGAATCAGCAGACTGGAAGGCTAGCATTGCACCAGGACTCCCAGCCCCTCCACACTCCCCACTTTACCATTATAATGTAAATCACAACCTCACTTGGAAAGTTTTAAGTACTGTGTATACTTGAGTATAAGCTGAGTTTTTTATGTTGGAAAAGCCCCCCAGTATTTTGTAAAAGTAGGTGCCTCAGCTTATACTCAAGTATATATGGTATCTTGCAGCTGAATGTAAACAGATGGAATTTTTTAAAAAGCAGCAGGTCCTGAACTGAGTTCTAGATCCTCTCCATCTAGAAAATGTAGTTCTGCTACCCCTCCGACTTAGTGTGGACATCACGTCAGCTGCAAAATGTACTATAAACGTGATGAAATGTATTACTGCGCTGCATGAAAGAACTCTTTTTCAAGGGGTACAGGAAAATGGTTTACCCAAGTAAACACATTTGTTAACCTTCCCCATTATCGTTAATCATTCTACCCTCGGCCTCACCCCATGCTGACAGTATTGAACAGTCAATACTGAACAAGCCCAATATTGAACAGAAAGCTACCCAAGTAGTGCGTCTCTACAGAACACTCGGCATCTGCCTGATTTTCAGTCAGAGCTTGTTCTAAACCCTCACCACCTAGATGATGTTCTTCTAAAGCGGGCATGTCTTTTCCAAGACTGTTTAAAATGAAAGCTTAACAGATTTTAGGCAGTTACAGTGCCTCACTGACAACACCCATTAGAAAGCCCTGAGCAGATGTATGATACCTATATCTGTCGTCCAGAAATGAGGGTGGACGCACAAGGTAATTTCCTAAGACTGGCCAGAATGACTGCCTCCCTGAAGGTCAGTAGGGTCTGTACACCCATCCATTAATGACAATGCCCCCATGGGCAGCTAGCTATTTTTCCAAGAAAAAGGATAGCGCCCTAAAGTCTCTCTTCATGTGGTGCATCATGCAATGCTGGCTCAGCCACCTACCTTTATGCAGTTCCGGGAATGTGAGAATCGCAGGGAAAGAATTGATAGAATTACTGTTGGCCTCAGTCCTGGCAGGTGGGCTGGCATAAGCCCTCACAGGAAGCAGCGCCCTGTATCCAGCTGCCCTGAGACTCACAGCAGGAGCCTTGGGAGGACTATAACAGGTCTTCCCAGCACACTAGACATTCCTGATGTTTTCGGAATAAACAGATGGAACGGTGAGGATTATGAGTGATAATCCAATGACCTGCGTTCACTTTCTTCTTCACTATGATGGGCACCTTTGACCTCCTAACAAAACCTAAAAGGACTCCAGTTAGGGTAGACCCCACCCTTAGCCGTCCTGCGGCTGCTGGGCAGACATCCTGTTTTACAGAAAGCTGGCCGGGGTGTATATGTCTGTCTCAATGACGAAAGAAAAAGCATAGGAATTCAGCCATTGTGGTCTACCTACCTGTAACCTTGAGCCTCCACATGTTTCAGCCGGTTACTTTTGAGAAGTTTGTTGCCCAGAAAGGTGGCCTGAGCTCTGAGTTTGTTGCTCCTGCACCACACAACCGCCATCTGGATTTCTTCGCAAAGTTGCCCGAAAGTCTCAGCCTCTTGGAGGCTTTGCACCAACCGTGTGGCACAGGGACCTGAGCCCGTCACTTTCTGCGAAGAATGCCTGGTGCCCTTTAAGTTGGCCTGAGGACGTGTCCACTCAAAGCTGGTCTCCTGAAACACGAAGGGTGAGAAGACTATTTCGAACATGACGGTAACGTGTGAACATAGAGCGAGAGGAAACGCCACACTCTGACTAGCAAAGCCAGAAAACAGGCAATGTTTACAAGACAGAACTTAGTAAACAGCCTTCTTCAACTCACTTATGTGTCTCTTTGTCTTAAAAGATTTCGTTTCATTCCACTTTTTCGACACAAGTTTTGTTTTTGTCTGTTGTCTTCCCTGTTTATTAGGAAAGGCCCCGCTGCAAATTAATTCAATTTTATACAGATTTAATATAAGTGGTTTAGCCTCCTTAGCTAGCTTGCCTTCTTGCAAATTGTTCAGCTCCCCCAAAAACGTAGAGCATAGATGAGGTCGATCAAGTTAACATTTGGTGATAGGAAAAGAGATTTGCTCAATCAGAAAGTGAGCTATTAGTGCTAATAAAAATGTGGTTATGATTAGTCATAAAGAAAAGAGAGCTGGTCAGTCAGCTTCAAAACCAGCTGACCGAGGAGCAGATGGCCAGGTGACGGGTGACACAAGTTTCAGAGGTCACGAAGAGGCACAGTTCTCTTGAGGCAGACAACTGAGGATTCCATGGTTGAGCCTGGTGTGATGATACAGAACAGAGACGATGAGGCCAGACTACCGGTGGGCTGAGGAAGTTTCTTGATCTTTCAATGCCTTAGTTTCCTCACCAGCAATATGGAAACAGCAATAACTACCTCATGGCCTTTTCTGAGAAATATAAGCATAAGTATCAGCTACTATACAAGTTAAACAGGATATGCTAGAAGGAGTTCATCAAAGTACCCTGGCTTATTAAATATGCCTAAGAATTCAAAAATAGAAAGGATGACATAACCCATAAAGGAAACTCGAATAAAAGGTTTGGCGAAGATAGATTTTGAGGGTAGCAGAAGTTGAGCATGTGTCCAATGAAAAGGTGTGACACTGACGTCCCTCTTAGGTCCGGACAAACACAATTTACAGATTCTAAGTAATGAGAGAAATCATGTTCACTCCAAAACTCCAACAGGGAAAACGGACTAGAAGTCTCATGATGACACTGCTGCTCTCTAAAAACAATTAAGTGCTCCTACTCCACTCAGTGCTGAACACGTGGTGTGCCTTCTAACTGGCACAGCCCTACAGAGTACATGCTGTAATTAGGAAAGAGGTTGAGAGAAGCCCAGGGACGTGTACAGGGTTACCCAGTTAGGACAAGCCGAAGTGAGGCCTCACCCGTTTCTGGGTGACGGCAAAGCCCATACACTTCAGTTGGAGTGCAAGCTACACTTCCACTAGGTCCCCAGGGGCCACTTTCAAGTTCTAGAGAAATTTTTCTAAAATGTGTCTGAAGGTATTTTATTCACTGGACCCATTAAAATCCCATGAAACATCACCTATGCTCATTCAGAACTATACACTGAGGACTAAGAAGACACTCGGCTCAGAGCAAGGACTAAAAAGGATTCAAATCCTATCATAAGTAAGTGACAAGTGGAGCCCTGAAGGCCTAGCGGGTTACACTACAAGGTCAGCAGTTCAAGCCCACTAGCCGCTTCACGCAGAAAGATGGGGCTTTCTACTCGTCAAGATTTACAGCCTTATGAAACTCACAGGGGCAGGTCGACTGTCTTACAGGGCCACCATGAGTCCAAATCAACCCAACAGCAGTGGATTTGCTTTGTGTTGGGTTCTTTCACAGGTCTGACATCCACACTACAAAGGAATAAGCTCTTAAAATAAGCCAGACCAACCTGAGGAGCGTTCCGTTTCAGCTGTGTGCAGAAGGCTCTCACATCAGATGCTGACGGTTCTTCTGTAGATGGAAAAGACCCCAAATACAAAAATTTAGGAAGGCTGCTTCCAAATTCATATAAACATTTTTTGACAATGACGATGAAAGGGAAACCAACAAAGCAAAGAACTGGAAAAAAAACCCAGACCCAAAGAAACTACTTTAAATACTCAGAGACAGCAGGTACTCGTACCTCTCCAAAGAGCATCGCTGTGGGCTACCAGTGAGGGGGTGCTGACTCTCCCTACCGCGCAGGATCACACGGGCAGGTCAATAGCTCCTATCAGAGTATGTGTGCAGGTCAAAGCAAATTACCTTTGAAGACTTGCTTATTCTTCACTGGCTGCCCAAGGTCCACAGAATGTTCTATATTGCTCTTCATTGGTGTAACGTTTTTCGTAATTCTAAGTAAGGCTTCTGCAGTGGGTAATGGGGATTGCTCTTTTGTTAGAAATAATCTATTCAGCAATCTAGTTACACCTTTAGCTGCAAACGGTGTGGGCTTTGCCCCCTGAAAGACGTCAAAATACGGTTGTCCTAAAAAGTCTGCAATATTGGGAGGAAAGGTGAAATCCTGAAAGTAAGGCATTGGTTGAATCCGGGAGATTTCTTGCAGCAGTCCAAGCAATGGCTCGTACAAAGACACGAGCCTTTTTAAAACCCCTTTATAGAGAACCCTAGAGAAAGAAAGAAGTGGTTCTCAATTAGCCAGCAATTACCATTTACAATGTCGCCATAACAGGTTCCAAGCTGAAAATCAGTGCCCACTACTCCTGCTTTTACATATAGCTAGAAAGTACTGCAATATGAATCTGTAAAATGACATATTTGTTTAGCCCAAAAAAAACCTCCAAGTATAAAATCTTAGTGAAATTTTTCAAAAGTGGGGGAAAAGTACTACACAAAGAAATGGTCCAACACATGCACGTCAAAATCATACGTGTGGTTATGTTATCTGTGTGGGCTGAGATTCCTGACAATTTTCAGGTTCTGCACATTCTATACTTCTGAATTTCTTACATGCATGTAAAAATTTTTTAAATTAAATAGATGGAACTTTAGAAAAGGATGAAGGTTTGACATTAACACGTGATTAGATAATATTGTTACATTAGGTTACAAATAAGCAGAATAAAAAGCAAGCTGTCTGAAGAAACACTCACTGCCACTGAGGCCAGGCTGACTCATAGCAGGCCCTATGGAGCAGGGGAGACCTGCCCTGTGAGCTTCAGGACTGTAACTTTTTACAGGAGTGGAGAGCACTCTCTCTCAAGGAGTTGCTGACGGTTTCGAACTGCTGGCCTTGCGGCTGCAGCTCAACTACACCACAAGGTCTCCCAAAAGGTGAAAAGAGGCCTCAAATGTGTAGGGGGCACTGAGCTGGGGACAGGTTAGAGTAATGGTTAAATTGCACTAATGTCACTAAACTGTGCATGTAAAGAGATGGCACATGTTGCCACACGGGTATTTCCCACAATTAAAAAGAATTCTCCAAAAAGGAAATATGCCAGCTGATTCTCCAAAAGCAGAACTGTCATTTATCCTCCTCCTGCCCCTGCCGTTTTCTCCCTGGTAAATCAACTTCTCATCCTACCTCAATGGCCTCACACAGGTCTCATTACAAAATATGGGCAGATTCTGAGTCCAATGATCCATCCAATCAGGGTCAGAAGATAGAGAGCATGCAAGGGAAGGTCTGTTTAGTTTTCGAGTCTTCTTGGCATCAACTAAACAAGGCTCCAGAGGAGTGGTGTGCAGGGGAAGGAAAGATGGGAAAGCATATGCAGAAAGTCAACCCGAAACCTCACGGCCGAAATCACCACATGCACAGCCAGCCAGGAACGCTGTAGGCTCACTGACATTGCGTCCTCCTTGAAAACGACTCACGAGAAGCCGAGGCGGACGGAGGAAGAGGGCTGAGAAGGAACGAAGGATCTGAAGGACGTGTACATACCATAACCTGCTCACCAGCGCCACCATCACAAGGTTTAGAATAATGAACTCTTGCAAACCCAGATGTTTCACAGTCAGGCTGGAGAACTGAGTGAAGGTCAGCAAACAAAACCCAAGTAATTCTGTTCTATAAGCTTTGTTTACGAAAGAACACACTGGAAACAAACGAAATGTTCTGGCGGTATTAAAGCCTTAGACGAGCTCTACATTCAGTAACAGACATTTAGTAATATTTGTTCTACCAGCTCTCCCGTTATAACATTTCTGTTAGGTTTCTACGGTTTCGGTTCTAAGAGTAATCATTTCAAACTACTAATGCTCTTAGGGTCCCACTTATTTGGCCTCCCCATGCCCTTTTCAGAAAAATTACTCAGCACTCCGAGGCAATTAAAAACATGTATACTATAATCCACACCGCACTACTATCAAGTCAATTCTGACTCATAATGAAGAACTGTCTGAGTTCCTGAGTTGGTAACATTTTAATGGAGGTAGAAAACCTCATCTCTCTCCCATAGAGCCACTGGTGGTTTTGAATCGCTGACCTCGTAGTTAGCAGCTCAACGTGTAACCAGTCCAGGATTGTGTAGGCATCTGCTTTCGAAGCTTCCCAGCCCCAATCCCAATCATTCCAGTGCCCCAGGGGGCAGCACTGCCCAGTTTGAGAAACACTGGGCTGGACGGACAATTCTTGGAAAGAGGCAGCCAAGAAGCTAACTTTCAAGAATTAACCAAAGGCACTATCTCCCACAAACTTCTACCTTCAAACAGAAATAGTAATAAATATACCCAGACAATTCCCGGTCAGATGAAGACACTCAAATGGATTCAAGGATACAGGAATGTCTTGCAACAACAGTCCAGCAAGCGAAGTAACAACTTACAGGCTCCCAACACCTTCATCAACACCACTTCCACCACTGGCTGGCTGGGGATGACACAGTCTTTGGCAATGACAGGTTGATGTTCACTTGACAAGAACAGAAATGTATTACTTCATCTTGAAATGCAATGTGTTTGTGTATCACTTTTCAAATGCAGACTTGCTTTAAAATCAGTTTGCAATCTCTCAAAAACTCAGAGTCAATTCTGATTCACAGTGATCTTCTAGGGCAGGGTACAACTGTCCCTGTGAGTGTCTGAGGCTGTAACTCTTTGTGGGAGGTGAAAGCCCTGTCTTTCTCCCTTGGAGTGGCTGGTTGTCCAACTGCTGACCTTGTGGTTAGCAGCCCAACTCGATGCCACAGGGCTCTCAATATGTGATGGGTATGCTCAACAACAACCCACTTGGGGTTTCACTGTAGTCCACTGAGGCTGAGATTTCAATGCCTCTCCAGTCTCTGGCATAGGCCAGTGGATGGGTATTATTTCCCCAAGTACCAAGTGGCCTTCCTGAAAAAAGGACCTGGGCTAGCAGAGGTAGAATGGGTTACATTCAACCCAGAGAGACAAAAGTCTAAAGGGAGATCACAAGACATCAAGTTCCCTGCCTACCACTTCACAAGGCAACCAGATCACTTACCTGGAATAGAACACCGCCGAGAGATCTTCAATTGAGCCCTCCAAATCCATGGTTTTCAAACGTTTTAAACACTGCTCAACCTGAAGGAGCAAGCACGGCACACGTTCATATGTATATAATGCAAATGGGGTTACAAATGTCACTGAGAAGGCAGAGACCCAGATCCTCAACTCATTCTCCACCCGGAGGGAAGAAACTCAAAGCTCTGTTCGAAGGGGCCCAATTATGTGTATTAAATATTTCATAAACCCACTTTATTTTTTTTTGAAAGAAATGGCATAGTGTTTATTAATTTATCACGACACATAACACAATATATCCAAATTATGTAAGACGAGCATTGCCACCTTTTCCTTTAAGGAGCAACCTGGTCATATTTCTTCCAAGACAGAACTGTTTGGTGGCAACAACCCATAGAGACACTGTACACCACAGTACAACCCGATTGCAGGGCATGCACAGACTACCAAGCATAATGGAGGAGGCACAGTCAGCAAAGACAAGAAGGACGATTTGGACTTGCTGAAATGACATCACTTATGCACATCAAATGACTATCAGAATGAAACGAGAGCCCAGAGATGGGAAACAATTTTTACCAATGACACATCGGACAAAGGGCTAACTACAAAAATATATGGAACTCTAAAACATATCAATAAGAAAATATCAGAAGCCCCAATCAAGAAATGGGAAAAAAGATATGAACAGGTAGTTCACTCAAAATGAAGTACAAACGATTAACAAATACATGAAAAAATGCTCATGATCATTAGCCTACAGGGAGATGTGAATTAAAACCACAATGAGAGAACACTTTACACCCATAATGCCAGCCCAAATCAAAGAAACAAAAATCAAATGCTGAAGAGGATCTGGAGGGATTGGAACTCGTATATAATGCTGGTGACTTGTAAATCGATACTGTGGAAAACGATATGGCGATACTTAGCAACCAGAAACTGAAATCCTATATGATCCAGCATTACTACAATAAGGCATCATGGGCTTCATTTATAGGAAATATATATTTTTAAACATCAGTAACAAATTAAAAGAGATAAAGCTCAGTCGAAGAGGAATATTAAAAACTGCAATAGATTTAAAATGTGTCATAAAGGAGCTCAAAAGATAAAGGGCTATACTTTAACCTAACTGCATCTGCAACAATCCACTTTCTAATGCATTCTGCATGACGGCAAGGCCATTCACATTCCTGGTCTGTGGTCAGAGTATCTCTCCACTTTTTAAGACTAAAACTACATTAACAAGGGTCAAAAGGAAGATCAAATGCAAAATCAGATTGGTCTTGATATCAATGTATATACACACACAGGATGAATCACACTTTCCCAGTCTCTGTATTCATGATTTCCCACAGGATACACACCATATTCACAATGGAAGTAGGCACTGTTTTCAGCCCTCCTGTATAATTGGTGCATCAAAGTGGAACCTATGAGCTTTGTGGAACACTGGAGGCACTGCCAGTCACTACATGCATACGCAGTGCCACTTTCACTGTATTCATATGGTTTCTGAGCTGTACAAATCCTCAACTGTCACTTGTCTCCTTTCTGGCTAAAGGCCGTCCCACCAGAGCTACATTAGTTAGGATTCCACTGGTGTTTACTGACATGAGAGAAGCCACAGAAGGCATATGCAAAGTCACTATATTGACAGGGCTTTCCTTCTGCTAGAGATGACTAGTGTGTGTGGACACATGACTCCCTGTGGATAAACCCACTTTATACCGCCACTTACATAACCTAATAGTCTATGGATCCCACAGTAAAGTCACCACCCGTTTGTTATGGTTTCAGGATCTTGACTGTGCTCGGGAAACTACTTCCCAATGGCTACCATTTGCTCAAATTATCATACATTTGTGCCCTGGAAAAAACAAACAAGTGAGTCAAGACAGACGAATATGGGCCCTATAGGACCTGCCCCATTGGGTTTTCAAGGCTGTAAATCTTCAAGGAAGCAGACAGCCTCCTCTTTCTCCCCTGGAGCAGCGGATGGGTTCAAACCGTGGAACTTATGGTTTACCGTTGAGCATGTAACCACTGTACCAGCAGGGCTCCTGAACTACTGTGTATTTTTTTTTTCAGTTACAAAAAGCTACTTAGCCACCAGAAACAAGACCAAGAAACAACTAATATCACCTTTTCTTTCTTTTTTTTTTTTTTAAAGCGAAATGCTTTCAGGAAAAAATGAAAATCTACAGGCAATTGTGACCTGAAGGAATGTAAACCATAAGTAAGTCTGAGATGTCCTACAAAATAGTAAGTGGCAGACTTAAATACACACTTTCTCCTCACCTGTTTGAGGGCCAAGTAGGGCTTGTGGTGGCCCATTCTGTTGTGATTGCTGTAAATGATTGCGCACAACACATCTGTCTCCGCGTCCAGGGCTGGGCTCTTCAGTGACAAGGTGACTAGGCAGCACTCTTTGGTGACAGCTGAAACGCAATGGCCTACCACAGAGATTTTAATAAGACTTAGTACATATTTCTACAGCAAGTACACAAAAGAAGCATCTTTCCTTCTGTGGAAGGATGAGAATGAAATAACATAATCAGCCTCTACTTTACATAATTATTCTAAGATGAGAAATTGGTAAATGATGGCAGGCAATCATTGAGATAACATTTGTTAAACAAGAAAGTATTCCTCCATCACATTTTATCATAATTTTAATCATCTTTACATGAAACCTTGGCAGTCATTTGGTATACAATTAGCACCCTGCAGGTTGTAAATAGCATGAATAGATACACTCACACTCTTAAAAAAACAAAACAAAACTCACTGCCATCCTATAGTACTACCACCCCGTGTTTCCAGGCAGTAAACCTTTATGGGCGCAGCAAGCCTCATCTTTCTCCCACAGAGCGGCTGGTGGGTTCAGATGGATAACCTTGCATTAGCAGCCTCAAGTGTAACCACACCACCACTAGGGCTCCAACTCAGCGCTCCTTATACTTGTAAAAGTCCATGCTAAATACTTGGATCCTGGTGTTGAGTTAGATACCGTGTTCCCAGGAAAGTAAGACATCCCCCAAAATAAGGCCTACTTATTTTTGCCTCTCGCTAAAATATAAGGCATCCCCCCGAAAATAAGACCTCCCAGAAAATAAGCCCCCCCCCCTCCACCCCCCCCAAGCTACCGAACTCTGGATTCTGGGCTGTAGCGGTGGGCGCTGCTGCACAGCTCACTGTTGGCCACAGTGTGAAGTCTCTTTTAATAAAACAATGAATAAATGTGTACCGTATTCTTCATGGAAAAATAAGATATCCCCTGAAAATAAGACCTAGCACATCTTTGGGAGCATAAATTAATATAAGACACTGTCTTATTTTGGGGGAAACAGGGCAAGAATATCTTTAGAAAAATCTACCATAGAGTTCACGTGTCCTCTATGGCTCTCAGCCAACCCTGGTGGTGGTGGTGAAAACTGCACTGTGCTAACCCAAAAGTGAGCTGGAGAAACATGTGGTAGTCGGCTTCCTGAAGATTACGGCCTTGGAAACCCTTTAAGGCACAACTCTGTCTTGGGGGGTAGCCAGGAGAGAGCAGAAAGTTTTTGTTGTTTTAATGTAAATCTTGATAAGAAAGTCACGAACAGAGAAAGAGAAAAGATGAATCTCAACACTACATCGGGCTGATGGACTAGAAGCAGGGGTCCTCAAAATGTTTAAACTGTAGTTTAAAAAAAACAAACTGTGAAAAAATTCCTATGCACACTGCACATCTTATTTTGAAGTAAAAAAACACCCGGCTGGATAAATGTCCTCGGTGGGCCGCATGTGGCCCGCGGGCCGTAGTTTGAGGACCCCTGGTAGAGGATTCATAGGAAGGGTGCTAAGTATTTGGTATTAGAATTAGGCTCCGGCTTGAGTGCGTCTTTCCCAAGTCAGGCAGTACTCCATATGCTTCACCGGTAACAAGAATCCTTTCCTCCAAGTAGCCCGACAACGTGGGTCCTACTTTTGTCCCCACTTGAAAATGGATAAACCATGGCAGGTTAAATAACTCCCTCCACACTCCAGCAAAGGGGAAATGCCAAGTTCAAGTCCACTGCCAAACCAACTACAGCATCCCAGAGTCTAGCAAAGGCAAAACTACCAAACATTGGTCCTAAATGACACCACTACACACTCCCAACACCACTGACGGGGAGGGAGAACTAGATCCAAAGAGATGGTCACAAGATTGCGATTTAAGCCCATTGTTGGGAATTAACTCGTAGCGAGCGTTCCGGGTGACCAGAATACATTCCCAGGCAGCACTTTTCCCTCCAACTTTGTGCGCCTCTTCCACCCCACAGCGCAGGGCTGGACTTTTATCCCTCACCGGTCCGGTCCGGCCCGGCCCGGCCCAGTCTTAGCCTCACATTGGCAGTGGAATAGAAGTTAGCAACGGACCGGAACAACGAAGCAGGGAGCCCACCGGGGAAGCCTGTCCAGCCCCGCCTCACCGCGCGCGCCCCAGCGTCCCACGGCGTCAGGAAGTCCCGCCCCCAGGCCCACGTGTCCTCCCGCGCCGGAAGGCTTCACGTCATCGCGCGCGCCCCACGGCCTTAGGAAGTCCCGGCCCACGTGCGCCTCCCGCGTCACCGCGCGCGCCCCAGCGTCCCACGGACTCAGGAAGTCCCGGCCCACGGGCGCCTCCCGCCAGGAAGGCTGCCCTGCGGCCGCCGCTTCCCCGCCGGAGCCCCCAACTCACTCAGGGCCGGACCAGGGTCCGGAACGGTCACTGAGGTGCGGCTCCCGGCTCTGGGAATCTTCACGCGGTTCCACGGCTCTGGCCCCGGGCGCCCGGCCGCCATCTTGAGAGCCGGGGGAGGGACTGAAAAAGGCGGAAGTAGGCGGGGAAATGGGGCGAGGAGGCGAGGGGCAGCCACCCTGTAACGAGGCAGGGGCGGGGCCGGTGGGAAGGGGGCGGGTAAGAGGGAGGGGCTTCCGGAAAGATGCAGGGGCGGGGCCGGTGGGAAGGGGGCGGGTAAGAGGGAGGGGCTTCCGGAAAGATGCAGGGGCGGGGCCGGTGGGAAGGGGGCGGGTAAGAGGGAGGGGCTTCCGGAAAGATGCAGGGGCGGGGTCGGTGGGAAGGGGGCGGGTAAGAGGAAAGGGTGTTCGGAGCCCGCCTTCACAAACCACACCCACTGCCGGATTTGGACTTACGGTACCGGACTGGGACGGAATTGGTCTGAGTGTAAATTCCTCTGTGAGTTGGCCAGACTAACGCTGTAGGAGGAGAACAGAAAGCCTCATCTTTCTCTTGCTGAGCAACTGGTGGTTTCGAACTGCTGCCCTTGCAGTCATCAGTGCAAAGCGTAAGCCACTATGCCTCTTTGGAAACCATCTGGCGCCTAACATTATTCAACTGCTAGCAGACGGGACTGGAAAAGACGGGTCTACAAACCACTGGCCTGAGCGTCCGAGTCACGAGGGTTGTGGTTGCGGTCAGTTGCCCTCTAATTAATCCCGACTCTTGACGACAGCATGCTTCCTCCGCAGGGTTATTTGAGCCCGCACCTATCAGAATTGACAGAACCTGCCTGTTCTATAGGCCCGTGCTCGGCGGCGCCTCCAAGTGGGTCCGTTTTTCAACTAGTAATGGAGTTACAAACGCCATTTGTACCTGTCAGGGACCCCAACCCCAGGGGAGTGCTTTGGGACTGTTTAATGGAATCGAATGAGGATTCCACTTTCCTTCCTCCCTCCCTCCCTCTTTCCCTTCCTTCCTTCTCTCCCCCTCCTTCCCACCTTTCCTTCCTTCTTTAAGTTTCTACATATATAATTCTCGGGCAAAGCTAAGTTTGAGACTGCTCTGAAGAATTTTACACTGAAGCCAGAGTTGCATTAGTGCATGCACCTCCAACTCCGCCTTAGACTCGAGGGGGAAGGAGGAAATGAAGGAAAGGAGGCTTAGGCAAACTGTAAACTGGGACGAAAGGAAACAGCGACTTCGTCGGAGCCAGTCAAAGACAGCCCCTCCAAGTCTAGAATGACAGTAAGAGCACAATCGCATCAAATACGCTTGAAGCTGTGTGACTCCATCACCCGCCCTCCTGATCAGTGTGAAAGAGGAAATGCTATCCCAAGCCCCGCCGCTCCTCGCCTGCCTCATTTAACTCAAAAATAGTTGACTTGTCTCCAGCCGAGGGCCCCTACCCACCTTGATGCATTGCCTTCAGCACTTGAATTTTGGTGAGGTTCCAATTTTGACTCTGTCACCCACAAGCTGTGTGATCTAGCAAGAGAAGTGTCACCTTTCTAGAACTTAAGTTTCCTCATGGGCAAAAGGAAAGTGAAAATCACAGCATCATCTGCCTCACCGCGTTGTTAGAAAGATTATATGAGTCAATACATGTAAAGTGCTTTAGCATAGTACCTAACTTGTATGTACTCTTAGAAGTATTCACACTTACTTTTACTACTTATTGGACCTTGGCACAATTGAATTACTTGGTGTGACCTTTTGATCCATAGTTTTTGTAACTCCCACCAAAAGACGGTTGGGAACATGCAGACAAGGTGTCGAGAGTTCATGTGGGGATTGGTCAGTTGTGCCACTCCACTGGGTATAAAGGCATCTTAGAAGAATAGAGAATCCCTCAACCATCAAAGAAAAAGAGCCACAAGCTGAGCAGAGACTGAGCTGAGAAGCAGAGGTGGCTGAGTGACACAGAGGGCAGGTTTCCCGGCCCAGGGAGGAGGATAGTAAGTGCCAACTGCAGAACTAAAGAAGCCTTGTCACACTTGTCAGAACCGGGCAGGAATCATATAAAATGCCCAGCTGAGGAACTGAAGCCCAGCCAGAGGTGTGCCTGCAGCAAGGCTGAGAAGAGCTGTTTCCAGAGTCACTGCAGGAGTTGCCAGTGGCAGGTGGGGTATAGCAAAAAGAAGGACTTTATTGTGAGGACAGTGCCTCAGTGGATTCTTATCTTGAGACTGAGCCCCAACTTCCATGTCCAGGAGCATTTTATAAGGAAGGGAAGTGGATTCACAGGGCTGGGGGTGGGGAGGGCTGGCCAGCAGATAGCAAGTGGGTTACAGAAGTAGAATGTGGGGTGGGGTGGGTGTTGAAGGTCCAGGCCCTTGTCACATTCCACGGGTTTCTTTGTCCCTGCCTCAAAAGCACTTCCAAAAAAACCCTGTATCTTTTAACAAATCTACTCCTGACTTGTAACCCGTTAACTTCTGTAATAAACCTTCATAATCACAATATGTGTGAGTTCTCTGTGGCCATTGCAATAGATTCAGCCCAGCAGAGACGTAGAAGAATTGGATGAAGGTTGAAGCGTGGAGGCATGCCTGACCTCTTCTGCCTAATAGGAATCATCCTTGGGCAGCTGAGTTGGATTCTCTGTTGGGCAGCTGGAGGAGGTCAGGCGTGTCTTTCACACCTTTTCTCCAGTGCATCTAGCTTAACCTGAAGGTGTATCTAAAAGTTAGCCGTTTGAACCCACTCAGCAGCACTGGAAGAAAGTCCTGGTGGTCGTCCTTAAAGACTAGCTCTACCCGGTAACACAAGGTGTCACCATGAGTCTGATAATACATCATTACTTCCTTAAAACACTTGCCATAATGAATTCATTTTTGCACATCTCTCTTTCTCTACCTGAAACATCACCCCCCTGAAACACAATCTCCATTTTGGGGGTCATTTTCTTGGTAATTTTTCATAAGTATCCTATCCACACTCCCTATGATAATTAGGTTTATTGTGCCAACCTGGCCAATAGGAACATATGGGATTAATCAGGTTGCCATATGATTAGAGGGCAAAGAGATAAGTGGTTGTGCAAGGACTGCCCCCCTCACTCTTGCTTTCTGGTGATCAGAGCACATAGGATTGTATTGCTGCTTTAGCTAGTTCTCTTCCTCAACCTGTGAGGTACACTACCTGTGGGCCAGGCCAACCCATGGATTGTGTTGCTATAGCTTGAGGCTCCTTCAAGACCTGTTTGGCCATGCTGCTGGTGTGTTTATTGCTTGAGTTTAAGGCTGGTGGATCCTGTTGTCTTGGATTGCTTGTGTTCTATATCCCATCCTGAGCTACTGACTGTTGCTGACCCACCCTTCTGCTTGCTGCCTGTGGGTGGATTGCTTGCCTTGCTGGAGGGAGGACTCCACTCTCTGCTTCCTTGACCTTGGACCTGGCAGCCCACATGAGTTGAAGGACTTGTAGTATATTAACAGTTCCACAGAAGTGAGTTGAATTGAACCCTCTATACTGCTCTGTGGATGAATTAGCTGTTATATTCCTCCTCTCTGTAAATAGATAGATAGATATAATTATAAGCGTCCTGTTTTTGTTTCTCTAGAGAACTCTGCTTAACACACTCGCCTAATATATAACTCTCCCCTTCCCTTCTGCATTACCATAATCCCCTGTTGGCCTCACAGCAGTTACATCATGAGTTGTATTATGTATGTGTTTATCCCCCAATAGCATGCAAACATATGGAAGGTGGTACTACAGCTCCTATACTGTGCCTTTAAATCAAAACCAAACCCGCTGCTATCAAGTCAGATCAACTCATAGCAACTCTTTGGGCTGAGATGCCCCACAGGGCTTCCAAGGCTGTAACCTTTATGGAAGCAGGGCCACTTCTTTCTCCCCCAGAGCTGCTGGATGAGTTTGAGCCATGACGGTTCAGTTAGCCAGGCACTTAACCACTGCGCCACCAGAACTCTTACTGATACATCTCACTGGCCATGGTTGGTTGATGCTTAACTCAGAGCCTGGAATGTTGTAAACCTTCAAGAAATATTTACTGGCTGAGTGAAAGGCTAGATCATGCTTGAATAGGGGGTTTGGGCATTTCCCAAACAGGCCAGGAAACAAGCATATTCTTGGCAGAGAGGTGTTAAAACAGTATGGGTTTGCAGAATCACTATCCCTGGCAAGATATTACTGCTCTTGCATAAAACTCGGAATCAGGTGAGGGGTCGAATCATGGACAGAATTTGGATTCCATCCTCAAGGCTAGTCATCTGCAACTTAGCTGATACCAGGATTACCTGGGTAGCTTTGTGAAGATGCAGATTATCAGGCCCCCTTTGGACATGGTTATTTGATAAATCTGAGCAGGGTTCTAATCTGTGTTTTATAAAAGCTCATTTTGAGGGCAGCTGGGTTGGGGTACCCTTGCTGTAGATGGAGATGGAGTCTTAAGGCATGGCAATCTTTGTATCCGAAGGACATTCTGGAGAACCAATTTGAGTGAGATGAGTCTGGAGGTAAGGAGTCTAGGTTAGATTCCATTAGTAAAATAGACAAATTAGGTTAGGGATTCCATTAGAAAAATAGACAAATTAGAAAGCCAAAAAGAAAGGGTGTGCTCAGCATATAGAAAGCTAAAAGAAATGAAGAAAAACTTCATGCCTCAAGTTGACAAATTAAGATTCGATGTGTAAAATATCAAATGATGCAAGAAGCATCAAAATAAGATAGCATTCCATCAAGAACCGATAGTATTAAAGGAAGAAGTCCAAGCTGCATTGAAGGCATTAGCCAAACCAGGATCCAGGAATTGCTAGAGCACCAATCAGAATGTTTCAACAAACTGATGAAGCACTGGCAGCACTTACCCATACCAAAAACAACTGGTAGATTGCTACCTAGCCAACTGAACTGTGCTGTATAGGGCTTTCAAGGCTCGGGTCAGTTAAAAGCAGATCACCAGGCCCATCTTCCAAGGCACCTCAACAGGCTCAAACCAGCAATCTCTCAGCTACCAGTGAGTAACCCCCCAGGGGCTCTTAGAAACCGTAGTAAGATGCTATCAAATAGAGCACAATCTATGGAGTCCCACGTGACCGTGTAAACGATGTAGCTGTGCTTTTACCTTGCAGGAATCCCGGAGAATGAAAACAACTGCAATGGTAAGCCACAAGGACTGCTTTGAGAATTCAGTTCTTACATGGACAAGTTTATCCCAAACAACACTTGTTTAAGCATCGGCCAATTAATGGATGGTTGTAGACAAATTATCCTCCTCAGACACTTGTCTTAGTCTCATTAGAGTCCCTCCAAAACCAATTTCAATTGAAACAGTGCTGTCTGAGGGGATCTGCTGTGTAAACTCGAGGCACAGATCAACTCAGCAGATTACGGCAACTGTTTTTTGTTTGTTTTCACTCCAAAGGACTGATCTTGATAGATTTCCTCCAAGGACACAGGACTATCATGGAGGCTTATTAGGAGGTTTTGGAACATCGAACCCGGCTTTGGTGAGAAAAAGGGCAGGGCTGTTGCACTGAAGCATTTGATTCCATCCTAACAGTGCGCCTGCTCATTCTTTGAGCCGAGGGAGGGCGGTCCGACAATCATCTCATGGGAAACCCTTAGCTCCTCCACCCTACAGCCCTGTCGTGCCCTTTCAGACATCTTTTCGTTCCTCAAACTCAAAGAGCACTTAAAAGGAGCACAATTTGAGTCCCTTAAGAAAGTCGTCAAAGTATAGTATAAAACAGCACCATTTTGACATAGTATAAAACAGCACCAATTCCCTGAGGGGTGTCACAGAAGTGGGAACACTGCCTTCAGGAATATATAGACCTGGAAATCAGTGGTTCCAACCTTCCTAATGCCACGACCCTTTCATACAGTTCCTCATGTTATAGTGACACCCCCTAACCATAAAATTATTTTCACTGCTACTTCATAACTAATTTTGCTACTTTTATGAATCGGTGACCCTTGTGAAAGGGTCGTTCGACCCCTAAAGGTTGAGAACCACTGAATGAATATGGTGAGAATTGATAGCTTTGCACTTGTATATTCTTGTTTATGGGGGTTCCTAGAGCCCCAATAAAATGATCTTTTAATTAAAAAAAGAAGAGATTCCTATGATTTTGTAGCAATACTTTTTTACTTACCTTTGTGTCTCCATCATGAACCCTGGTGGCGTAGTGGTTATGCCGTGGGCTGCTAATGGCAAAGTCAGCAGTTCACAACCACCAGCCGCTCCTCAGGAGGACAACGGGGCTCTCTACTCCCATGAAGGATTCTTGTCTCAGAAACTCACAGGGCAGTTCTACCCGGAACTGTCAGGTCGTTGTGCATCGACTTGATGGGAGTGTGGGGTGGGGTTGGGTTGGTTTGGGTTGTATATCAGTGCAGTGAGTCTGTGGCTTTTTAACATCCCAGCAGTGGAATTCCTTTTTCACTTAGAAATCTTACACAGAAGTCAAATATACAAAACCAATTACAGTGGCTGAGGGTGTCTGGGGAAACAGGCCCAGACCCCTAGAGGTGGCTCACATGACATTTCCTACCAAGGGTTTGGAAACCACCTGTTATAAAATACATATGAATGTGAGCTTTTATCAGAAACTTAAGGGCTTTTAAAAATCAATTTAAAAACTATTTACAGTGGAATCCCATGGGGGAAAAATATACACCCACTTATTGAAAGAAAATTATCTAGATGGGTCTAAACCAGCGGTTCTCAACCTGTGGGTTGTGACCCCTTTGGGGGTCAAACGACCCTTTCACAGGGTTTGCCCGATTCATCACAGTAGCAAAATTACAGTGAAGTAGCAACAAAAATAATTTTATGGTTGGGGGTCACCACAACATGAGGAACTGTATGAAAGGGTCGCAGAATTAGGAAGGTTGAGAACCACTGCTCTAAACCAAGTATTAGCAACAGTAATTTTCCCAGCTGTAGCATAATATTATTTGTATTTTTCATTTAAAAATAAATGTGTTGTTATTTTAATGAGATAAAATTTATTGCCAAGCCAAAATAGTGCATGCCAGTCTTAAGATGACACAGGTGTGTGTGTGTGTGCTTATAGGTATACTTGTCACGCTGTCCACATACAGACATAAGTAAATACTTTATCGACCCATTCCATTATCATCCTTTGGCTCCAATCCAATCAAGGATTACCAAGTAAACAAGGTCAGCATAGGCTTACTGACTAATTTGTAGAAAACCATAATGATATGATAAAACCACATGTGAAAATTCTCTACATACCAATCAAAATAGGACAAGCAAGCCCACGTTTACCTTGTTTATTGGGTGATCCGCCCCTGCTCCAACCCTATCCAAAGCCTGGATTTTCTGTGATGGTAGGGAAAAAAGGTTTCCTTGAACTCACCACAGGAGAAAGATGGAGTACTTGGAGTATAGATGAGGCTTCTTCTATACTTTGCTCAGTGGTGGCTGGAAGGAGGATTCTACAAACTGCATTTATCAGCGGGACGTTATACAAAGTATGGGCCACTAGAGGGCAGGAGATGTGCCAGAAAGTTTTGTCTTGGGAGATTTCTGTGTCCCTGAAGTGGACTGGTTCGCAGTGAATATAGGACAGACTAGAATTGCCTCATACTGTACCCTGGCTAAGTGAGCATAACAACTGTGGGTATTAAATAAATATCAGCCTATAAAAGTGTTATGCCAGGGGGGCTAGAAACCTGATTTGAGCTCTAAAATGGAAGCCATGTGTGATAGTTAAGGTTTATTGTGTCAGCCTGGCTGATAAACACTAGGGTTAATTGAAGGGCGGGGGCGGGGGGAGGGGAGGGGATAAATGGCTCCATTTGCCTCGCTTTTCTATTTCTCGGGTCTCTTGCTTTGTGATGGTCGGGCCACTGTACAGCTGCCTTAGCCAGGTCCCTCTAGGGAGATGGGGAGTGAGTTAGTCTGGGTACATTAGAGAAACATCCACAGAAACTCCCTACCCAGTGCTGCCCAAGCACACAAGTCCAACATTAACCCATATGTCCAACACCAATCCACAAAGTTCTCCTCCATCTCACAAAACAGACAATGATACTGACTGCAGGAGGAAAGCTAAGCATCTCACCACTGGCAGGGGTTTCCACGCGGCTGCTCCAGCACCCAGGCCTGCATCGGGGTAGGTCCATGTGGCTTCTCCTCAGGGATGTCTTGCAGGAAGTGAGCCTTGTCAGCTGAAGCAGGGAACTGGCTAAAGCAGCTGCACCGTGGTGCGACCATCACAAAGCAAGAGATCCAAAACTCAAACAGCAAACGGTGATGCTCACAGAGCCATTTATCGCTCTGCCCTTCAATTACCCCCACATGTGTTTATCAGCCAGGTTGGCACAACTAACTAACTCAGGGAGTAAGGATGGGGGTGCTGATATCAAGGAGTTCAAGAAGGAAGAGAATGTTTTGAAACTGAATTTGGTAGCAATGGTACAATACTGCTTGATGTGATTGAACGATGGAATGGTACTGTGTCTGGATTAACTCCTAATAAAACGGTTCTGGGGTGGGGGGTGGGGGTGGGAGCCAGTTACAGTCTCAAAGTCACAGGCTCAGTTCTACCCTGACCACGGCAGTGAGCCTGTCCTTTGTTTTTTAACCTCCCGCAGCCAAGAGAGCCCACCTGGAGTGAAGGCCCAGCCCAAGAGGGCTCCTACAGCACCCGAGGCCCTGCCAGCTTTCCCCTTTCACCGTTCTGTTATCCGTGGCCCCCACGGCCGAAAAGACCCCACGATGGGTGACAGTTCCCCCATGATCAGACGCTAATAAAGCAACTATTCCAAATGTGTCAATTTAGTAAAGCGGTTTCCGGTTAGGTTCACCGTTTCCTATAACTTAACAAGCCGTGACACCCAGACCAGTCGCTGTGGGGTCCGTTCTCTATGCTCTGCGGGCTCACATACCTGCCTGTGGAAGCAGATTGACACCCCTGTGAGCGGGCTCCGACCACCAGCCTTTCGCAAGGGCAGCTGGGCGGGGTTAACTCTTCCTACCGCTCAGCGTCCTGGCATTTTTAACAAGGCTTTTGCAGAGCATCCGGACCCCCTGGGGTGTAGTGGTGGCTGCAATCCACAAGGTCGACACTTCGAAACCACCCACCGCTCCGCTGGAGGAAGCCCCGACTTTCTACTCCCGCAAACAGTTACCGTCTGGGAAACCCGCAGGGCTCGCCGCGAGCCAGGCGTGACTCGAGGGCGGTGCGCGTGGTTTGATTTGGTTCGCTGAGCAGGTGAAAATCCAACTGCCACCTGGCTGTTCGATACCTGACGTTTCCACCAGGTGGCAGCTGGAGGCTGTCCCCGATCCCTCTCTAAATTGATCCTTCTGGCTTCAGTTAGACCAGGAACCTAATCTACATTCCATCCCGCCAATGGAATTCCGGTTCTATAACCTCAGACAGAGTGGAGACAAGCCGACTTATCCCATCAGAGGAAATGCAGATAATCAGAGAAACGTCTCGCAGGCGGGTTACACGCACATGATTTCAAAATGTGGCCTTTGAAGTGGAATAAAGTCCCATGACCTGCCTGGCTCGGTTTGGTTGCTTTTGTGGCTGTGAGGAGCCTGGAAGTCCCTATTATTTTTATTTTTAATAAATCATTTGGGGGCTCTTGCAGCTCTTACAAGAATCATCAATTGTATCAAGGACATGTGTACATACGTTGCCACCACCCTTTCCAAAACAAGAAACCAATCTTAGAAGCACAATCAGTCACCAGGCAGAGTAGAAACAACCCCATTACCTTTTCTGGGTTTCAGAAGGAGCGGCCTAATCTGATTTTACCTTTGAGACGCCGACTCACTTGAGGCTGGCAATGGTCAGATTTTAAAAAATAATAATAATAAATATCAGCTAATTTTATGTATTTTCTGTACATATAAATTTGAATGCCCAAGAATTTGGCCTTGGGGGGGTGGGGGATAGGATCATTAGTTCTACTCTTTGACAGTTTGGGGACAAAATTTCCAAGGCACATTTTATAAGGTGTGTAGGGATTTGGTAGCTTGTTTTGCTTTCTTTTCTCTTGCCAGACATCCCCTGAGAGCCGGGCTCCAATCAGTGAGCTGCCTCAGCGGGGCTGCCAGCAAGTCTGTGCCTGATTTGGCAAGTTTCTGAAAAGGTACCAGTGCCTTTTCCCAGCAGGGCCTCCATGGAACCTAACACCCAGAGCTCTGCCAGGGGCCTGGGCCAAGCCACACTGCAGTGTCTACTTCAGAACCCAGCCCCAAGCATCTTCCCGGCCCAAGTTGTTACTGGACTCAATCACATGTTTGCTTTGGGCACTAGACCAGTCAAGGAGGGGTAAAAAGGAATCAGGGCTGACTCAGAAAGAAAGGAGATTATCTCTCTACCCCCACATTTCCAAGATACTCAAGCGTGTACCCAAATAGACGCGAGAGTGCTCATGCACACACACATATCCGCATACATAAATACATACGTGCACAGCACCCAGACAGCCAAGAAACAAACAGCTCTCAGTTGGGAGACTCGTGATTCTAGCGGCTTTCTCTTGGACAGCTGCATGTATTGTTGTATTTTTGTCGCTGGGTGGTATGAATGTTTGACACTTTCAGCTGGCAACTAAAAGATTGGCGGTTCAAGTCCACCCAGAGGCAGCTGGGAAAAAATTCTGGAACCGTTTCTGAAACTGTGACCATTCAAACCTCTTGGAGCACCAGTCTACTCGGACACACATAGGATCACCATGAGGCAGCATTGACTCAATAGCAACTGATCTGCCGGCCCATTCTCATCAATTTCCTATCATAGCATGCACTTTGTCTTGGGAGTGTTGTGTTAGTCAGGAGTGAGTAGAGAAACAAATATAGGGAGGCCCTCATATGTGTGTAAGAGAGAGCTTTTTATCAAAGAGTAATTGGATATTGAGAACACACCCCAGCCCAGTCCAGATCAAGTCCATAAGTCTGATATTAGCCCATATGTCTCATACTAGTCCATAAATTCTTCTATAGACTCACACAGCAATACAATGATGCCAAATGCAGGAAGATCACAGGCCAGTGGGTGGAAAATCTTATGGATCCAGTGGCGGTGGAAGCATCTCAGTGTTGGTGTGGGTCTCCACATGGCTTCTATAATTCCAGGGCTCTGGCTTCATCAGTATAGCTCCATGTGGCTTGTCAACAGGAATGTGTAAGCAGAGAGCCTGGGTTTGGCCTCCAGTGAGCTATTTATCTCCACAGCACCTCAAATGAGGTCATCAAGCTGTGTCCTGATTGACAGGCTAATCTCTACCCCTTCACTCTTAATAGTCTCAAGTTGACACCAGATTATGTAACTACCACACTACCCAATTGTTGAAATTGCTTTCTTCACTGGGAAATTCTACTTTCTTTTCTATCTCTCAGGACCATGCTCCAAATACCATCCCTATTTTCCCAACTCTCCACTCGGATCTCTTTCTTCCCAGATACAACTGCTCTTTCCCTGCTCTTTGCTAACCCCTCTCTGTCTGGATCTTCCAATGGTCCTCTCGCAAAACTGGAGTCTGCCCATAGAAGGCAGGGAGGGCATCTTCATCTTTTTACTTCTGTAACTTCTCACAGAGTGCCTTGCAACACTAGGTATTGAATAAGAATTGGGTGAATTGAATGGAAAATCCATGGGCTGCCTAACATCTAGAGACCAAAGCAAACCCCAGCCAAACCCATTTCCACCAAGTGGCTTCTGGCTGATAGCAATCGAGAGGACAGAGGTAGAATTGCCCCATAGGGTTTCTAAGGCTGAATTCTTCATGGGAGCTGATTGCTGAGTCTTTTCTCCCAGAGGATGGCTGGTGGATTTGAACCCTTGATCTCCCAGTTAGCAGTGGAGTACTTCCACCACTGCACCACCCCATGCCTACAGGGAGGGGACTGTGACACCATCAGAGTGAAATTCTAGAAAGAGTCATTCATCTGGGGTTGAAAAGAAGGGAGGCACGTGATCAGGTAAGCACAGCCCACAGGCCGGGGGGTGCAGAGTAGTGTGGATCCAAAGTTGGTAGAAACTTGGCAGGCTGCTAACAGTTCTCACATTTTGGCAGCCCACATGGGGTTGCCCCTGGAAGTAGGCACAAAATCCCAGCAAGCAGGAAGGCAGAAGGCAAGAGAGAGAGGTTGGAAGTTTCTGGTTTCTCACTTACAAAAAGACCACAGCTCCCAAGAGATATCATCAGGCTGTGACCTGGTTGACATGTTGGATTCCATCCCTCCACAAGTACAAGTTGACATAAAATCTAACCGTCACAGACACTCCTCCCTCCAAGTCAATTCCCACTCAAGGCCAACTTGTACGGGGTTTCCGAGGCTGCAAATCTGTATGGGAGCATATAACCTCAAGTTTCCTATGGGAAGTGGCTAGTGGGCTTGACCCAACAACCTTTTGGCTAGCAGTTCCATGCTCACCCAACAGAGATCCCAGGACAGTGGATAGAATTGGGTACCTAACTGGAAATGAGACCCTTGTGTCTTTTCAGATCCTGATATTGTTCAGCTCTGGAGTCTGAGTGATCGGCTGATGATAGGATCCCTTACAAAATGAAAGGGAGGAATGCAGTTGCTTTAACATGTGAAGTGCTTTATGGATCATTTGAGGTGTTTTATGGTTTGAATCGCCCCCTCCCTCTACCCTCCCAAACCCTAACCCCCCTTCAAAAAAACCCAAAAGTATATGTTGACATCCTACATCCAATGGTATTGAACGTGACCTGGTTTGAGAAGAGGGCTTTTCTTTGTAGATCTTGGGCACTGCGGAAGTCATAGCAGAGTTGGGTGTGTACTAATCCTAATCCCCTTGAGTCTTGTTTTATAACGAGGGAGGACACCCGAGTATCACCCACACCACACCGGGGGAAGGTCTGTCGATAAGCAGGGAAGGAAGGCCAAGGAGTGGCAGCCGCAGCCCTCAGAAGGAATCCACATGGCCCAGGCCTGGTGGGGCCTTCTCACCTCACAACTAGGAGACAATCAATGAATGTTCTTCAAAGTCGCCCACTGTGTACTCTTGTGTTATGTCAGCCCCAGCGTTTGGAAATATAACAATGGGACTCAGAGCAGCTACAGAACCTAGAAGCGGGGCCTGGGAGGCCAGTCAGGTGGCTGAGGCCAAAGGAACCTATGGGACCATGGAAGGTCCAGCTCTATGACAGGAGGGGCCCCATGGGATCTGTGAGGGCAGGTGAGGAGGCCATCGGGAGGAAGAGGGACACTGAGAGACACAATGCTATGAGAGCCAAGCGAGGGACACCTCCCCAGATTTCCATGAGGCAGGAGTCAGGGAGATTAAAGACCGGACTGGATGCAGGCAGGTACTGGCGTCCTTGATTGGTAAGCCCGCCGACTTTTCCTGAGATTCAGGGAGTTGCAACTGGAAGGCAGGCTGATAGAGGGGAGGGATGGAGAGCAATGAGAAATGTTGACTGCCAGAGAAGCAACAGACTTCCTCCACAGGGGTGCTAGCGCGAGAGAGGAAGGGTTAGCATCACAAAAACCAATAAAAGAAATCCAAGCCCACTGCCATTGAGCCCCTTCCACCCCAGAGTGACCCAACTGGACAGGGTAGGATTGCTCCCTGGAGTAAATCTTCAGGGAGCAGAACACTTCACCTTTCTCTGAAAGAGCAGCTAGTGTTTGAATTGCTGGCTCACCAGTTAACAGTGCAGTGTGGAAGCCACTGTGCCACCAGGGCTCTGGAGGCCACCTCACCTCCACTCACTGCCATGG